GGTTCATTTGCATACATTTGCCTAATGGCTCAGTGTCTGATTACACTGTACTGAGCCTGTACATTCTGTATCCATTTCAGCCGGTCGGTCCCACCTCTGAACTCAGAGTAAACAGTGCAAGAAAAGCACATCCTGCCGCCGCGGAAGCTCTCGGCCCTTCCAAACTCCACGCTGGCTCTCTTTCAATGCCTCGTTTTTTTCTGTGTCTTTGTTTGGTCTCCTTTGCCCATTTCTGGTGCTTAGAACTACAGCCAGTAAATACAAGTCGGTCTGTTCCTTACCAGGTTGATTTGCTTCACTATGGGGATAACCAGACCGGCCTAAATGAGGGCGTGTCGGTAGGCAGCAAGGGTGGGAACTAGACTTTTCTTTGCCAAGGGCCTTAGCATGTGGGCTCACGTAAGAATTGGGAAGAGAGGCATCGTGGGACCTTCAAGACATTTCCCGATAGTGCAAACATTTTTAAAAAATTCCATTTTAGTAACAAATTGTCAAATGAACCCCAGCCTACTCAGACAAAGCAAGAGTCAAACTCTCCACCTTAACACCTTCTAGGATGTACTGCGTGCACGGAACCCAGGAACATGGGGGAAGACCGAGTGGAGGAACCCTGAAATCAAGTTTTAGGACAACGCAGTCTGACAGGGTTGAGGGACACATGTCAAGTTAAGGAATTAGAGCCTACGGGTAAATTTTCAGAAGTCCCCGAGAATAAAACCAAAGCGAAGGGAAGTAGACTAACAAGATATTTCGGACATGAGAGAAGCTTTAGAATATAAACATTCGTGTATGACATGAGTTTAACAGAAAACGGATATCCAGAAAGAAAAAAGTTAATATCCATAAGTCACAGCTAAAGTGATCTATGGCTGAGAGGTTAACAGGTAAGATGGAGAAGGCCTTGGGGCCACCAAGTGGCATGGTGGTTAAGACGCTGGACTCCCACATGGTCAATCACGGTTCAAATCCCAGACCTGGTGGTTTGCTTTCTCTTTCTGTTCGGTGAGCACATGTGCCCTATAGCAAAATTAAAAATAACAATGAATAAAAATAACTAATTATAAAAAAGATGGAGAAGGCCTGGCTCCAGCGGTCCCATGACGGGGCGTCAGCCATGTTCTTGGATGGCACTGAGCCTTCAGGAGAGAGAAGTTTGGGCTCAAAGGTACAGAAGATGGGGAGAAGTCATAATTCAAGTGAGATCCCAGGCTAAAACCTGCATTTACAAATCAAATATCATCCAATTTCTGTTGACAGAAATGGACAGGGTTCAAAAAAGCTAATGCTTTAGAAGACTGAAAGGTTCATACGAGTTGACGGGAGTAATAATGAGAACGCTTATCATTTTTCAGAAATTACAGATGTCTAAGCTGCTGCTGTTGGTGAAGTTTTACAGATGGAAAATCACAGCTTTGATATTTTGTAGGTAACGTGGTTCCAAGTGATTCTGAAAGATTATCATCTATGGCACGCTCCCTCTGCTAATAAAATCTAATTTACACTGCACAGGGTTACTGAGGTATACTAGCTTTACTTAGGAAAACCTGTTTTTTTTTGTTTTTTGTTTTTTTTTTTTTCTTTTCCTGAGACAGTTTTGCTATAAGGTGCATATGCTTGCCAGAGAGAGAGACAGAAGGTGAGCCATCACCCTCCCCAAGGATGGCCGCGCCACAGTCCTTCCTCTGGTATTTTTCTCTTGGCACTTGGGCACCCATGCACACGTGTCTGGAGTGTTTCAAGCTGCCACATCCAGGACTCAAACCACAGCTGACTACGTGGGAATCCAGAGGTAACCATTATACCATCTGCTGGTCCCAGAAAAGCCTTTTTTAAAGTTAATTTCTTTTGCAAGAGGAAGAGAGCGTGCGTTTGTGAGCGAGCACTCGACAAGTTCTGCCATGCCACGACCTCCCCTCCAGCCGCTAGGATCATGGGTACCTACAGGTACACCGAGCACGTTCAGGGGCCCCGGACCTGAACTCTGCTCTCCTGCATTACGTGGGGGCACCTACTGCCTGCACCACTGTGGCTGCCCAGGGAACTTTGTAGTAACTTGAGTCAATCTTGTGCAAAGTTTCCTATTAAAACATGGTCCTGGCAGGGATGGGCTCTACCCTGACAACCTTTAAGCCTGCTGTCACCAATCATCTGGTTGCGCACACGAGCAGAGATGGCTCCGGCCGGACAGCTGCACTGCTCGGCTACTCGCAGACTTTCACACGGAGAAGCGTGAAGGCCGAAGGGCTCAAAAGGCCTAGGTGTTATCTGTCCACAAGGGAAGAGTTGGGACAGGGATTCCAGGAAAGCTCCCTGATTCTCCGTCCCTTGGTAGATCAGGTATGCAACCCACAAGCTCTCAGGGTTAGGACCCCTCTACCGTCTCCATGAGGAGGGGGGTTCCTGTCCTCGACTGGGAAGGAACGAAACTTCACTGCAGTTAGAGCAATGGGTGAGAGCGGCCCACAGCTCACACCACCGGCCATTCTGGGCAGACCTAGCCACTGGGCCACTGGCGCCATTTGACATGGACCAAACAGCCTGCAGCCAGATTCCAGCCTAACTCTCACTGCCGGCAAGACAGGGCAGATGTTCCGAGTCCGCCGGCTTGCTCCCATCTCATCGTGGGCATGCACCAAGCTCATTCCGGGCAAGGGTACTCATCGCTAGAATGGGAAGACATCTCGGAGGACGAACACTGTGCAGAGAAATGTGCAGGTGCTCAGCCTGGCGTGGAGGGATGCCCATAACCCGGTTGTCTCCCACTCTGCGTGTTCCTCTTCTCACTCAACTGGGTTCAGAGTTATAAATAAACTTATCATGCCACACCTAGACCTGGCCCCAGAGTGCCAATTCACTGCGAGAACTGTTTCCTGACCACGGCCCAGGGTGCCTGTCCTCTGCTCTGGCCAAACTGCTTTCCAGGAAAGGGCTCGCCTGGCCGGCAGGTTGGCTCATACTCACGGCAGGCACAGTCAGTCCTTCCCCAGTCCTGAGCTCCAGACCTGCCTTTGCTCCTCTTTATTGCCGACGTGAACTACACGATCGTCTGCATTCCAGAGAGGTCTGGATGGTTAATCTCCCCCTGCAGTGTCTCAGGAAGCCGGCTCCCTCTGCCGCTGCAATTCTATTTGCCATGGAGTCCACATGGCTTAGGCTGGGTGTCCGTTCGAAGCCTTGGCAACCAAGTGCCTCTCTGCATTTCTGGGTTCCCATCCTGAAACGAGTCGCCATCCCGATGACATGCCAGCCCTCTAGGCCTGAGACTGCCCGTGCGCCGTCAGCATCTGCCTCCCGGGAGCACCATCTTCAGCCTCACTCACTCTCGGTTATGAGTCCAGCTGTTGCTCTGGGACCTATGAGGCTCCCGCCAAACTCTGAAAGGTGACAATATCTGTGACCTTCTGCTAGCCTGTACAAGGGCTCAATCGCAGAAAGGCGGGCGTGAGGGAAGAGACCCTGCTGGAAGCTAAATGCTGTTGACTCTTACAGATGTAGACACAGCGGAGAGCGGTTGACCCTGGAACCATTGTCAAGACGTGGTAATAGGGACCAGCAGTTGGCGTAATGGCTATGTTGCTGGACTCCCACGTAGTCAACCGTGCTTTGAGTCCCGGACCCAGTGGCTTAAACTCACACCGGGTGCGTGTGCGTGTGTGTCCAAGATCCCGAGAGGAGATGGCGTGGCCAACCCCCCTGGGGGGTGATTTCTCGCTTTCTGCCTCTCTGTCTCTCTCTTTCTGGCAAGTGCATGTGCCCTATAGCAAAACCTTTAAAAAAAAAAAAAGATGTGGTAACCACCTCAGGGATATAAACCTCTCTTCCCTCAAGAGGAGGAATGCCTTACCAAACCTTTTCTTATGCTTCAAAATAAAATTTGGGGATAAATTGTAAATAAAAAAGATTTAAAGGAACATATTCTCTATTTTTTGTTTCTGTCCCTTCAGTATCTACTTAAATATTTTCCCCATTTCTTTCTAATCTACAGTTAAAAAATTAAAATTAGCTATTAAAATTAAGTTCCTAAGAATATTTATTTATAGTCTTCTAAAAAATAAGTGGAAGTTTGCTGAATTACAAGGGGACTTCAAGACGTTGGTGGAAAAATTAAAGTATGAGTTTACTTTAGTGCAAACTACTTTGTAATTTGGAGATATATATTGGAGATATATATATATATATATATATTGCCATAAGGTGCATGCATTCACTGGAGAGAGAGACAGAGACAGTGAGAAGGAATGTGAGAAATCACCCCCCGGGGGGATTGCCACTGTGCAATCCCTTCTCCTTCATTCTCCTCCTGGGACCTTGGGCATGCATGCACACGCACCTGGAGTGATTTTTAAGCCACTGGGTCTGGGACTCAAACCATGGCCATTCATAAGGGAATCCAGTGACGTAACCAGTACGCCATCTGCTGGTCCCATAATACACATTTTCTATGAACTTTGTGAAAACCTTTTGAAAACCCTTTCTACTGTGCGCTTCCCAAAAGAATAGGACACATAACCCTGCCTTCCATGTGTAACAGCGAGGTAGGGCGTTAGCTGGCAGGACTGCTTACTGCCTCGGGGTTCCCAAACTTGTAGGTGAGGGAGCACACAGGAATGACCTCTCATCTCGGCAACTGAGCTCAGGCATGTCACCAGGCTACTGAGGCAGTGCCGGGTGCAAGGTCTGGGTCCCCTCTATCACTCCATTTCTGGTACACACTTTTCTTGTCTCTTTTCATCCAGATCACTCAGAAGAGAAGCAGGTGCAGGAAAAGCCAATGTGCTTTTAGTCCTCACATATAACCGTCTTGGGGTACGGCACCTAAACACCACACGTTCTACACAAAGTTAAAGAAAAAATACCAGCCAATGATTTCTCATGACTGAAAGCAATCAAGTTAAGCCCGCTATCACAAGGCGGTGTCTTTGTACATGTCTGAAAAGCCTTTGCTTTGTATGATCTGAAGAGAAATCTGGCTGCCCCGAGGCTGCTGTGCTGGGGGTGCTCCAGGCCGTGGCCCTTGTGGATGGCTCACGTAGGTCCCGGCCAGTGAGCCCACCCGGCTGAAC